ATGCTCCAAACACACAGAAATGTCTATGACAGGCGTCCTCTGCCATCCCTGTAGACAAATGCATGAGCAGCAAAGCTTCAAACATCCCTCATCTCTTCAATAATGCCCTTTCATCTGCTCTCTACATCAGACCAGAGCAATCCAGCACAGAGGCACAGCGAAAACACAGACTAACAGTGATGAACAGATCATTATTTTGACTCGTTCTGCTTCTCAAAAACCAGTCTGAGAGATTCATTCACAAATCAGACTGAAGCGATTGTCAGGATACGGTTACGTTTGGTTAACTAAGTTTAGTTACAGGAGCAAAAACAGCCTGTTTAATTCTAAGGGTCAGAGAAGGTGGGAAATGGTCGTAGTCAAAACTAATGACAAACATTAGAAAAAAAAACCTTTAGATCCAAATAATCAAGCTTACAGCCCACAACAAGGGACAACCATTTTTATAACAGTATTAATGATAATAAATAATAATAATTATTAATGTAATATAGCATGACCATATTAATACTATTAAAAAATTTAATTTATATTTTAAAATACTAAAGTCAAACATTACTAAAGAACAGTAATATTTGTATTAAAATAATAATACTATTAAACAATAGTAACATTTTTATTATAACAATATTAACATTATTAAATAATATTAATATTTTAAAACAATTTCTCAATTTAAAAAAATTCAACAGTAGTAATATATTCATTCTAACAACATTTTTTATAGATTAATTTACCTAAGAATGATAATTGTGCCATCATTTAGTCATCCTTATGTTCATCCATATCTGCATGCATTTATTTCTGTAGAACACAAAATAAGATATTTTGGTGAATGAATGAATGAAGAAAATAAATGCAATTTATGAAAGTGAATAAACATCTCATGATGTCAGAGAAGAGATCAAATGATGCTGCTTTACAAATGAACTTTGTCTTTGATGTGACTCAAATGATTCCATTTATATCCTGATTTCAATTGGATTTAGCATATTCTGTCTGATACGTCCTTTGAACTCAGATGAGTGTAGATATGAGCCGTCTAGACTGCCCAGAATACATTGAGCAGCCAACAGCACGACCACACACTCCTGCTTAAAGGGAAATAATTTACATTTACGTCCAAAGAAACAAATTCTGATAAATATTCTTTTGTGTTTCATGGATGGAAGGAAGAAAGAAAGTCATACAGTTTGGAACTTGATGTGATGATTTTATTTTGAATTTCAATATTGGGTGAATTCCTATTGAATGAGAGTCCAAACAGTTCATTTGCTCATTAAGATGTTCTTAACTTCAAACCGTTGCTTCCGGCTAAAATATGAGTGCATAGCCCATAATAACGCTTCTTCCAGTGGAAAAAGTCTTCTGGTCTGAATCAGGAGAGAAATCTGCACAGAAGCACCATTTTGAAGCCAAAACAGCTCTAAACAAACTCACCTACATCTTGGGTGGCATCTTGGGAGTAGATTTTCAGCAAATTTTCAATTTTGGGGTGAACTGTTCCTTTAAGTTAGCACCATCAAATCTTTTAAACAAGATGAAGCAAGCCTATAGCCTATAGATTTAGCTTTTTTGAATTGAATTATGTCTGTGAAATAATCTTTTTGACAGACGGAAATAGCAAAAATAGCTCATTTTTCGGCCATTCTAAGAGCGACGCTGCTGTGAAATTCTAAAAAAAAAAATAGACAGGAATAGACCAGAAAAAAGAGACAGAAGCCTGCTGAGAGTCAACATTCCCATTTAGCATTAAACACACTCCAGTGTGCGGGTATAGAGGACAGACATATGCTGGAAAACACACACACACACACACACACACGCACGCACGCTAACCAGCCCCCCGAGGATCTGTGTGCCCTTCAGGGGAACGGCGGATGGGAGAATTAGGATGGCAGGAGAAGACACTTTTGATAAAATTGGTGAAATATCTACATTGTAAAAAACCGAAGTTGCAAATAATACATATAATAATATTACTGGAATATGTTTTGCATTCTTTCTACTTCAACATTTCACCTTTAATTCAGTGTGTTACTTGCCATTTCCTTGTAATTACTTGTGAAATGTACGAGCAATTTCTGAGTAAAAATTTTTCAATGTTCTCACAATATAATGTAATGAAAAAATTATGAATAAAGCATATAAAGAGTTACTTTTCATTTTTGCCTGCAGAATGATTTAGTTGCAGTATTTATTAGTAAAATATCAATATATATACACAACTTGTCTATACAACCGCTGTATAGTTTACAAATAAGCTTTAGACACAAATAAATGTGCACAAATCATTTGTTGCAATCAACGCAATTCATAAACCAGTTTTATTTTATATATGCATAAAAAGGTGTGTATTTCAGAAGCTGTCAATTTTGTTTGTGTTTAAAAACACTTGAGTGTTGATTGAGATCCCGTGGTTCCTAGGGGGCGCAAACAGACTGTCATTTGATTTGATGATGATGCAAACAATTGAAACAGACAAACACATCTGATCTGTGATCAGCAGTCAACATGGAATTGTGCTAAATTTAGTCATTTAAATAGTTTGCTGTCAATCAGGACATTCACAGCCAATCAGAGAGCTCTCTGCACTGGGTTCAGTTACAAGTATTTCTATGAAGCGCAAGATGATTGATGTTTAGACTATAAAAGAACGCTGAAAAAAACGATTTTCATGACCAACACATGGACCAGCATGAATTTAATGGCAGTGTACTGATTTTGATCATTGTAGAGTAAATCATCGCTTCTAGAAGTTTACTTAAACATCAGCTAATAACGTCTGTAATCCGTCAAAATCAAATCATCAGATTGTGTCAAAAGAGAGCTGTGCTGTTACTTCAATAAGAGATTAGACTTAGAATTTTTACTTGCACTCTCAAATAAAAAAAAAAAAAGGTATAAAAGCCGTCACTGGGACGGCACCCTTTCAAAAGCTTTAAAAACTAAAGAGTGCATTTTGTTACCTTAAAGGTACATATTTGTACCTAAAGTGTGCATATTAGTATCTAAATGATACAGATTTATAACTTTTGAAAGGGTACTGCCCCAGTGACAAGTTTTGTACCTTTTTCTGGGAGTGCCGTTAAATAAAATCGATGAAAAAAAATCCCACAGACGCACACTGAAGGATGCACTTTTTACGTGGACCAATAAGAAACCATCTAGCAACCACCCAGAACACCCTAGCAACACCCTGCCAACCAGGATGCTCTGGCAACCACTTGGCAAAAACCTAACAAACACTTAAAACACAGGAGTTTTGCACAGGAAAGCACCACTCATATTTTCTCTGAATTACTCTTATAGAAAAGATTGCAAACATTGTACACCTTTAAAGTCTTCATATTTGAATTTCTTAAATTTCTCAGACAAAACGGCAATGTTTTATACCGTTTAACGACTTTCACTCACACACAGTGGATCATTAATTAATAAAAACACAATTCCTGCACACATTAAGAAAGGTTTAGCATCTTAACCGTGTTTACTAGGTCCAGATACAATGCTTTAATGAGCTTCGGAGAGCTAAAAAGCATGAAACACCAGCTCTGCAGCATGCATGTCAGTGCTACAGGCTATGAATGAAACTAAACATTTAGTGAGAAGCATTTACCTTTATACGTCTATTTACTAAACCCTCTCAAACCAGCCTGCATGCTGATATAAATCTACATTACTAGGGATATGCAGACTAAAACGGCACCCTGGGAAATTACTGACAACCAGCCGTGGATAACTAACTCCCCTCGCATTTGTCTCTTTCTGAACAACCAGCAGCCAGTGATCCCATAATAAAGAGGGTGTCGAGAGCTTCGTGTAAGGGTGAGACCCTCACACACCTCACAGAGGTGTTAATGCTAAAACACAGACAAATCGATCTCTACAGCTTTACTATTCAAAAACAAAAGCATAGCAAGAAATACTAAGGTTTTAGTAGCACTTTACCATGTCTATGTTACACATCATTCATTTAGCAACAGGAATAAAAACAATAATGCATAAATATAAGAAGCTGTGCAAGGTAATTATGTATTTAGAATGATACACATAGTTTATTACGATTTATTTTGTACAAATGTATGCTCGTACAAGCATAAATACTGCAAACTTACTAAACATGCATCAACATAATAACCCAGCCAAAACGCTTTTTTAAAGAGTTATCATAATGTTAGGACAAAACGTTCTCAAAGTAATGTGCATGGAACGTTCTCGTAACGTTGAGAGAAAACGTTTTTAGAACATTCTCTGAACATCCTTATGATGTCATTTGTACTTGGACGTTCTAAGAAACGTTTTTGCAACCTTTAAATATTGTTCTGATCGTGACAAGAAATGTTAACATTTTCAGAATGTTAAAAATAAACGTTCAAATAAAGTTAGTAGTAGTAGTCAACCTTTAAATAACGTTATAAAAACGTTTCGATAACCTAAATGTGTTACCATGGGAATATACAAATATGATCCGAGCACGTTCTTGATGTATTTTATGAGATTCAGCCGTTAAATAAATGAAACATTTCCGTCATGATTTATTATGCTGCTTGCTTCTCTATGGCTCGGATCAGATTTCTAATGATGATTACCGTCACAAACCATCACGGGACCGTTATTTGACCAAAAACTCGAGGAATTATTAAATCATTAATCCAACAAAATACATACAATTCTGAAATTCAGCTAGAAAGCTCATCGTCCATTCCAAACACGTCGTATTATTATTATTATTATTATCCTCGAAAACAGCGATTTGTCAGACGGTCAAGATGAGTGCGCGTTAAACACCGAAAATATTCAAATTAAACGTTATTTGTGTGTGTTTTAATTACACAGGCACATAAACACGGTGTAAAGAACAAAATAATGAGCGTGTTGAAAATAATCGCGTTTAATCACATTAAGAGCTTGTAGCGTCGCTGCTGTTGTGTGTGTTTGAGGTGTTATTCCAGCGCTGTTATCGCGTGTATTTGACGGGGAGCGGTGAATAATCTTACCGGTTGGTGGTGTGGATGTAGACGAGGCTGGCTGAAGCGCTTCTGCTGCGGTCTGCGGGGTTTTTCTCGGAGGCTCGGGAGCTGTCCTCCGCTCGCGGTGCTGAACGCTCTCGGTACTGGACAGCGCAACGGCAGCAGCGCGAGAGCCGAGAACGGGACGATTCGAGCCGAAGCGCATCAGACGCAGCGCCCTCCAGCGCTCAGGAGGAGCAACCGCGGCGTGCCGCAGTACTGATTCGTATCAAAACAATTCATCACATTAAAAACAAACAAACAGACAAATTAAGAAATAATAATTATATTAATTCATAAAGCAGAAATTTTAAGATATTTATAACATGTGATGGAAAGACAAGTATAAAAGCGTGAATTCACTAGCGACACCTGGTGATGCAGTTTTACCACAGTAACATTTCTGTGTTATATAAACATTTTGAAAATAAATTATAATATATAAAATGGTTCTTTTTATCAATGTTGAAAAAAGCTTGCTGCTTAATATTTTGTTAATATTTGCTTAACATTTATAATTTTTTTAGGTTTCTTTGATAAATTTAAATATTATTTAACATAGACTTTTGAACACGATAAAAGTGTTTTTAACATCTACAACAACAAAAAAAAGGCAGAAAATCAGCATATTAGAATTAGTTCTGGTGGATCATGTGTCACTCTATCTATCAGGTTTGACATCAGAAATAAATGTTTTAAAATAAATCCATATAGAAAAGTTATTTTTAAATTGCAATAATATTTTTCACAATATTCTAAACATGAATGCATATATTTAGTATTTGCTTGCTATTTTTCTTTGTAACAGAACTGTAATGCTTGAGGAATGCAGTTTTTCTAATCATTTAAAACTTGAAAAAACGAAATTAAATCATTTACTTGTCTGCACCTGATTCTGTAGAAACCCTCCAAATTGTCATTTCTTGGGTTTTAAAAATTCACAGATAATTTACTAGATAATAGTTAATTACCTAATAGTCTGGCAAAAAACATGGGATTTGTGCCTCGAATGCTTTACAGAAAGTTACAGGACACTACAGGATACCATCACTAACACAAACACACTTAAGAAAAATATCTTTATATATATTTATTCCTTGGAGGAACTGATGAAAAGAGCAGCCGAACCGTCCAAAGCTGAAATTACATGTGTAACTAGTCACAGAACGTTATAGATAATGTCCCACCGTATCGCATTCAACATTCACTGATATTTTTATGAGAATTACAAAGTAACATGAACAGAAGAAACGTATGCTGTGTCTTCATCAGTAAGGCATTAAACGGCACATGAAAAATGCATTTTATATATTGGTTGCACTGAACTGAATCTGATATACTGAACCCAGTTTTAGTCTGGCTCACATCAATTCCCTTCTTCTCCGCATCAATTCTGATCATTATAAATAATAAAAACTAAACCGAAGCTGTAGTCACTTTACCATCCATTAACACTTGCGCATTTGTGGGAAAGAGCATCATTGGCTGCATTTGTGAGAGAGTAAAATGTCATTGGTCGTTGCTGTGGGACGAGTGTTCTGATTGGATGTGCATGTGGGTCGTGTGATTGGCTGTGGTTTTGAGAGCGTGTGCTGTCATTGGCTGTAGCTGTGGGATGAATGTCCGTGAGTGACGGCTTGGACGGCCTGTTCAGGAACCAGACTGGGGTCTGAGAGGATTGATGTGGAGGTACAGAGCAGACGGAGGGAACTCAAAACAGCTGGAGAGAAACACAGAGACAAGACATGGCAGAAGTATTACAAAAACACTGTTATTACCTGATAGATCCGACTCGATTTCTGATTGGATAAACAGGTTCTGTTGTTGTACAATGCAGCTGCTTGGCAACTAATTTTACCTAGTGGGAGAATTATTTATTCTAAATCATCCAAAAACATTTTTTTGAAAGAAATTAGTATTTTTATTCAGCAAGGATGCATTAAATTGATCAAAAGTGACGGTAAAGTCATTTCTAATGTTACAAAAGATTTCAATGCTGTTCTTTTGAACTTTCGATTCATCAAAGAATCCTGAAAAACAAAAAGTGTCACGGCTTCCACAAAAATATTCGGCAGCACAACTGTTTTCAACACTGATAATACTCGAGAAATGTTTACTGAGCAGCAAATCGACAAAGTAGAACGATTTCTAATTCATAAAGACACACACATACAGCATATACTTTGAAAATATTTACATTTATTTACATGTAAATATTGATATACATATCAACTATATCATATATTTTCTATTCTATCTACTTGTTTTTCTTTGTGTGTGTGTGTATATGTATGTATGTGTGTATATATGTGTATATGTGTGTATGTATATGTGTATATATGTGTGTATGTATATATTTTATATATAATAATTTTATATATTTTTTATTCTATTTTTATATTTATTTATATAATATCAAAGTATAATTAATGCAATAATAATGTAAGTTGATCATGATTTTGTTTTAACACCCCTTAACTGTGGTAAAATCATGGTGAAATTGTCCTCTCAAGGCTTACTGCTTTTTTAAAAGGCAAAAAAATAAAAAATACTAATACACCCACACACATAAACAAGAAGGCAGGGAGTGATAAATATGCCAGGACGAAGAAAAGTGGTTTGTTCAGAAAGGCAGTAAATGATTCTAAGGTCTGAGGGAACTAAGTGTGAAAGTGAAACGGGAAGTAGTGTTTTCAAGAGAGGTGCTGGTCACTCACTGGGTCTGAGCGCAGGCAGAGAGCAGTGCTGGTCCAGCCAGGACAGAGTGCTGCGACACAGATCATCAACACTGGCTGTGGACACCATCCCATTAAACGACTCGAACAGCGGCTCCATGAGGATGCTGAACTAACAGAACGGCTGCAGTTCAGGAAAATATGAAGACTTGCATCTTATCAGAATTAGACCTGCTACCAGCACAAGCACAGATGTTATGGATGCTGATATCCACAAAAACATTTTCATGGACTGATTGATTTTGAAGCTATTTTACTTCCATATTATATGTGACCCTGGAGCACAAAATCAGTCTTAAGGCGCTGGGGTATATTTGTAGCAATAGCCAAATATACCGTATTGTCCCGAATATAAGACAATGTTTTTTTCTTGGAAATACATCTGAAAAAACGCGGTCGTCTTATATTCAGGGTCTAGACTT